GACCACCGTCTAATGCCGTCACTCGGCCGGACCACCCCCTAACGTCATGTCCTCCACCGGACCACCGCCTAACGTCGTCGCTCCGCCGGCCCACCGCCTGACATCCTGTGCTTCGCTAGACCACCACCTGACGTCCTATACTCTATCGGATTACCGCCTAACGCCGTCACTCCACCGGACCATCACCTGACATCCCGTGCTTCGTCGAACCACCACCTGAGGCCCTCACCTTCGCCGAACGCCCTACGTTCCGCAAGACCTTCACCTGAAGCTCTCATCTTTGCCAGACCATTGTCGAAGGCTCTCATCTTTACCAGACCATCATCTAAGGCTCGGAGTTCTGCCTGATCATCATCTAAGGCCCAAAGTCCTGCTAGATCATTACTCGACACCCGGACATCTATTGTACAATTGCTACTTGTAATCTGATCGTCTTTAGAGGCGAGTCGGTCCATTGTAACTAACTCAAGTTCTAGTGAAATCTTTTCAACTGGGCTAGGCCCCATGGTTTTTCCCCTTTCAAGGGTTTTCCACGTACAAAATCTTGTGTTCTTTGTGTGTGAGTTGAATATCCGTATAACGCTAAGACGAACGATTAAAACTCTATCGCCGCGTATATTTTAGCCCGCAACAGTAACAAAATAATCTTTATAATTTGGTATAATATATTTAATTAGGACTCTTATTCTAATGTGTGCTCTTATATACTTCAAATCACATCACCTCTTTCAATTATATGCCCTGCTTTTCTTTTAGAGCATAAGTAATTGCACGCAATATCTTTAGCCACGACTCCCGAGACCTTATAGCTCTCTCTAATCAATATTATTTCACCTTTTGTTTTTCTTATTTTCTATGTAATTATCCTAAATATAGGATATATTTCTATAAAAATTTCCTACTTTATTCGTCTAATGCAATTGAATCAAACTTCTCTTTAGCAGAAATATTATATATATCAGTTTTGTATCTATATTTGTGCATTCATATAGTGTTTCGACATAGAGAAGCTTGTTGCAATTGTATTAGATGGATAATGAGTGAAATTTCTGACGCCCCAAGGAGAACTTGGAAGAATTATTCTTTTAATCCTTTAAACCATCAACTACCAGAGCTATTTGTAGTTATCAATCAATGATAAATAATCTAACAAAAATTTATAATTTAAAACATCAACGTACACATTTATAATTCATTCCCAAAAGTCATTTATAATACTTAGGATCTTCACAATTATCACATATATCCATCTTATCTTGAGTACAAAAAGAATCACTAGGACAAAAAGAGAACAGAACCTGAAGAATCTTGATCAACCTCACACTCTTGCTCTCTTGCTCTGACCTGAAATCATTAACCATATATAATGAGCTTAAAAAGCCTAGCAGGTCACCAAATACCTATAACTGAAATCAAAGTATGATACGAAAGCAATATGCATGTCAATCAATCAAATCATGACAGTCACTTACACATGACCATTGAATCGATGCATAAATAGAAATCAATATATAAATAATAATCAATGCATAAACAGTATTAATACAAAGACAGTAGAATTCATAATTATCAGTAATGGAATCAGTAAACAGTAAAAAAACCCATAAAGCTCAATGAATCAGTATATAGTCAAATCTTTAAAGAAACCATCGTATCTATAACATCAATCAATTCAATAAAGAAATCATCGTATCAGTAATATCAATCAAATCAATAAAGAAATAATCTCCATCAATAATATCAGTCGGTATAAAATTGTATAAAACATCAAATCAATACATCGTTAATAACTGTTGAAATCACATCAATGAAATAAAATTATATCAAAATGTACACATGCTATCTAGTTATTATATATCACTTATTTAGTGTATCATATGTAATCACTTATCACATGTTATAAGATCAGTACTCAGTGCATCACGTGCTATAAGATCAGTGCAATGAATCAGTAGTATCAGTATATGTATCAGTATCAATAATAATCCAGTGACATGAGCAGTAATGCAATAACAGTGAAATCGTGCAGTAACAATAATACATTAACGATAAATCAGTACAATATCAATAAATCTGTACATTATCAATAAGAATAATGCTTTAAACATACAATTCAGTACAGTAGTCATTCTCAATAAGTAGAAGTGCTGGCTATTACGACATTTTTCAGTGTTAGTATCAATGTTAGTAAACTGTTGGCTCAATAAATAGAGTCGTCACCCCTTGCCCATCGACACAAATCTCCTTATAACTCCCAATCAATGTATCACGTGAATTAGTAGAGGATAACATCAAACCGCAATATTTAAAGGAAAGCTCGTCGGCCCAGTATCCTATACAGGTAAATCAGTCTTCAACCAACGGGTCAATCAGTCTTTACTTGTTTGTTCCACACACATATAATATCAATATACTATAACAGTAATAGCAACCAGCTATTACTCAAGCACATATATATCCATTTTAATGCATTACAATAAATAATACATAATTAAGCTTAATTCAGAAAACCCTTAAGATATCATACAACAGATAGAAATCCCATGCAGAATCAAAATACATAGTTTTAGAAAATTACCAAATTATCAAAAATCATGTAAAACATAATTTCAAAACTTTAATTGTACTGAAGCACTATTTTTCAACATCCATATAATTTTCTATTCGATAAAAATCCCACATAATTCAGAATACATAGTGAAAAATCACAAATAAGTACTCAAAATACTCATAATCACGTTCTCTACAACATAAGAAAAGTTACGTGCTGAAAGTTTCGTCAATATAAAGATATGCACATTTTTCGGTAACAGAAACCCAAATTTGAGCAAAAAAATACAAAAACATGAAATCTTTGAAAACAAAAATAGGATATAGATTCCTTACTACGAGATAAACAATTCCTCCAACTACGTCGACGGACGAAAATCGCTCCGCGACCTTCGAAACCAAGCTTTTCTTTCCTCTCTCCTCTTTCTCTCTCTTCAAAACGAGTCAATCGGTCCTTTAAAAGATATTTACGTTCGTCCCGGGATGAACTCCTCTATACAGAGATCGTTCAGACAATAATTGATTTTCGTCCCTTGACGAAGGGCTTTGTCGAAAATTTTTGTTCATTTCGTACAAACGAACTCACGGTTCGTTTAGATGAACAGTTCAGTTTGTACAGATAGTTCGTACAAACTAACTTTCACTTGTTCAGTTCATACAGACTAACTGCACAAAAAAAACTGAAATACAAGGGTTCTCACAAAATTACCGCAAGTGGTGAAGTTCTATTGGTTAAAGAGGGTTACAAAATCTCAAAGCTGAACATATTGTCTAACGTTACGTGTGCCGTAAAAAAAACATGAGATATAATTGAAAAGAGTTGTGATGCTATGAAGCATGTATATAAGAGTAGATATTGGAGCCAAAGGCCTGATTCAAGTTCTATATATGGTTCTGAACAAAGAATTATTACAATCTCAAATCTACTTAATTATGTTGCTTTCACTAGGTTTCGCTCGTAGTTATTGTCTCACTAAGGAGGGATTTGTCCTCTACTTTTCTCGATTTTGTTTGTTTATGTTGCTTGCATTTGGTTCCACTTGTCACTATAGTCGCTTGCCACCGAGGGATTTGCCCTTGATTTTAAAAAATTCTACTTTTTGGTTGATAAACTCTTGATATTTATTGTACATATTATGAGTTTGAAGATATGTTACTTAAATTATTAGAGTTGTCATGCTTAAAGAGATTAACTTATCAATATTATCATATGTGATTAATAGTTATTATAGCAATATATGCTATTTGTTATTGCTTCATTATTAAAAATATTTTCTTTTATTATGTTTTCTTTATTTCACTAATCACTTTCCTAGCAAAAACTATAATTTATAGTTCCAAAATCTAGACAATATTTTTATAACTTTTATATGAGATTTTGAATATGTAAATTTTTATATGTTATTGATCAAATACTAAGATCATATTAGCATGTATAAATTAAATTTTTACTAGTTATTATGTATTGTATAATATTTTAGGTATTTTAACGAGTACATCGACACCGATAGAAATTGCTACAGAACAATAAAACTTCAAAATGTTTCGATGGATATTACAGATGAAAGGTTTTATGATTTGTAACTATTGAAATGTGCGCACATGTTTATTCACATAGACCTCCTATTTTGTCGTACATGGGAAATTTTTTATATTTGTATGATATGTTAGATGTTATTCATACATGCTGAATGCACTAATATTTATGTACACATATATTAGAAAAAAGAGGGCTAAATATTTTTCATTGATGTTTACACGCATTAAAGTACTGATATTTATATGATTATATGCTTTTTTTTTCTCTTCCTGAATTTCCATGTAAAATATTTTTAGTCTCCGTCTCGTATAACTTTTTTTATGCGTGCTAAATTTTATCCTATACATAAATTTATAGCATGTAACAAAACTAATGCTTTAAATTTTTATGATGTTCAATCATATGAAATATAATTTATTTTAAAGAATAATTTTTTTTTAGTTCATATTTTCAAGGAACAAGCTTTTCTATGCCTAACTTTCCACAAAATAATGTCAAATAAACCGGCATTGATAACTATGTGAACCGGTTTCATGTGGGAGGCGCCGAACCGGCTTGGTTTTCCTCAATTGCGGCCGGTTATAGTCAACTGTGCCGCGGTGCACCATAAGGCATCTACTTGTGGCTGGCTAAATTTTGTCGCACGTGAGTCAGAAGGCACGTGAAAAGCTAAACCCGTGTTTGGAATGGGAATCCAAAGCTACACCATCTCTGGCACGTGTGGCTGGAAATGAAACGTCAGAAGTAAACAAAACAAAGGGTATTGTCGTCCTTTCGCGTGCGAACATGGAGAAGCGACAAGACCGGCATAGGTGCGTGCAGAGCTCACCGACGGACACTTTTCCACTCTTACCCCTCCAACGGTTACTTTTTAGAGTTTAGACCCATTGCCTCTTGTTCTGTCACCCTGAATTAGGATAGAGAAGCAGTGATAGAGAGAGAAAGAGGAAACTGTCTTCTTTTACTACTTTTTTTGCTTGTGGAGAGAGAAGCAAAGGAAAGGGTTTCGTTTCGCCGTGAGGAGCTTATGAGTTCTGAATCTGCGAGTTGGGAAAGGAAGTATTTTTACTTATTTTTTTGAGATTTTTTTTTTCAAAAAAGATCAGATTTTTTGGGGAAGAAAGGAGGGCGGCGCATCTTAGCGCCGATCATGAGGTTGCACTGTGGTTTTAACCGTACTATAGTGGCCGTGGCGCTTATTTGCTGCTGCGTATTGTGCGCTGGTGCGGCGGCGGTTGTCGGCGAAGTGACGAGGAAGCAGATCGCTGTGGAGAAGCGCCTGCGAAGGATCAACAAGCCGGCCTTGAAGAGCATTCAGGTCTCTCTCTCTCTTACCCCTATCTTCTCCATTATTCTTTCTCATGAAAGGTTTTGCCCTTTCTAATTTGAGTTAGGTGCGACACTTTTATACTTATTTTCTTAGAAAAGATCTAAGATTCCCTCTTAGATGTTAAAAGTTTTTCTTCTAGGTTCTTTTTCTTCTACATTAAATGAGGATTGTTGGCTTATTCTTGCATTTTTTTTATCATGGAGATGTTAGGGCTTCCCCGCTTCCATTTTTCAGTTCGGTGCCTCCTTTTTCTTTGCTTCTTTTCAAACTCAAAATCCCTTTTTCGCTGAAGGAAATGTCTCATATTAATCAATCTTTCATTTGTGTTCAAACAATGAATGTTTAGGGCTCATTTGATGTTTGTAGACTGAAAATATGTTCTACAAAAATATGACTTCGATTTCACTTATTTCAGGAATTTTGCGGGTGTTTGTGTTGGAGGTCAATATTGATTTAATTACATCAAACAAGTGATAGAATCCGACAAATTTACTGTTTTCCCGGAACATGTTTTTCAAACTTCAAGCAACCAAATGAACCCTTAATCTACATGATTTAGACATTTCTCATTTTGTGCTTCAAATATTTAGGCCAACCTAAAAGCTTGTCTTTTCCTTGGTTTTTTTGGGTATAATCTTTTCCTTGGTTATTTCGCTATATCATAGCATTATGAAGTGATAATTGAATAAAATCTCTTCCATTTTGTTTGTGAAAACGATGCAGAGTCCTGATGGAGATGTGATAGACTGTGTTCACATTGCTCACCAGCCTGCATTTGACCACCCATTTCTTAAAAATCACACAATCCAGGTATTCTCCTCAACACCTCTTTATTTCCCAGTATCTTTTTATCTATAGTAGCCCCACTGTCTTTCTTCTTCCTGCTCAAATTTTATAGCTTTCATACTCTCTCTCTCTCTCTTTTGTACATCCTTTAGATGAGGCCTGCTTTCCATCCAGAAAGCCTTTATGATGAGAGCAAGCTAGTTTCACACTCCGGTGCAAAGAAACAGAACACGGTAGCTCAGCTTTGGCATCAGAATGGGAGATGCCCAGAGGGCACAATACCAATAAGAAGAACTAAGGGGGAAGATGTTCTAAGAGCTAGCTCAGTTAAGAGATATGGAAGAAAGAAGCATAGAACCATACCAAAGCCAAGATTTGCGGATCCTGATCTCATCAATGAGAGTGGCCATCAGGTATGGTAAAAGGAAAGAATCTTTGAAATAAAGAGTTAACGTTTTGGTAGATTCTTTTATTTACCTCTCTTCTTTTCTCCTTTTTTTTTCACTTTCTTCTCTTTATGCCTTTATGAGTGTAGCATGCAATTGCTTATGTTGAAGGCGATAAGTATTATGGAGCCAAGGCAATTATAAATGTCTGGGAACCAAAGATTCAACAGTCCAATGAGTTCAGTCTCTCCCAGCTCTGGATCTTAGGGGGTTCCTTTGGTGAAGACCTCAACAGCATTGAAGCTGGTTGGCAAGTAAGTTCCACACATAAAATGTTTTGACTTTTGCAAATTGATCACATGGAGAACAAATATATTAATTTTCTACCAATAAAAATAGGTCAGTCCTGATCTCTATGGTGATAATAACACCAGACTGTTCACTTACTGGACTGTACGTGAGCCTTTCATCTCTTTGATGCTCTTATCTTCTCATATCAACATCTTTTTTCTTCAATTAGGAGATGCCTTAATGGTTTTTCCCCCCTCAATAATGCTTGTGAAAATGACAGAGTGACGCCTATCAAGCAACGGGCTGCTATAATTTACTGTGCTCTGGGTTTATTCAGATCAACAGTGATATTGCAATGGGGGCCAGCATCTCCCCTATCTCTGATTATAGTGGCTCACAATATGACATCAGCATACTTGTTTGGAAGGTAAAGAAAAAAAAAATCTCACCCTCTTCTTAGACATAGAAATATAAGCCTAAAACAAAGGCAAAATTGACAAAATCTGTAACACATTTTCTGCTACCATATGATATTAGCATGCTTGTCTGTACGGTGGAGAAAAAATGCTCCCTGAAATAGGGAAATTTACATACATATTGTACATATCTAACACTCAAAAATTTAATATTACATACCATATTATATTATTTTAATATCAAATATACAACTTATATTTCTATCCTATCACTCATAAATTTCATTTCTACCGCTCATATTTGATATGAAAATGAACTATGGGTGGTATGCATGTAATATTAAAATTTCAGGTGTTAAATATATAAATAGAGTAGGATAAGGTGGTATGTATGTAAACCTCGTTAAAATCTGTGAAACATTTTCTTCTTGTTCTTTAGTTTATATTCTTTAAAAGAGAAATTATAAATATCGCTATAGTTAAATGTTTTATAGGAAGGAATGAAGGTTATATGTGCTAATGTATAAAATCCTAGTATGAATTTTGTCATATTATCAGGATTTTGCGACAAATACTAATATTTTCTGACATTTATGCCATATTACCAGTTCTATATGGTTGTATAGTGTGATATGTTTTTATCCATATTTACAAAGATAAATATTGTTATACAAACTATTTGAGTTTTATGCAAATATCCCTCTTTTGTTCACCTATCATATTGGAGCAGGATCCAAAGGAAGGAAATTGGTGGATGCAATTTGGTAGTGATTTGGTGCTAGGTTACTGGCCTTCTTTCCTGTTCTCCTATCTAGCAGACAGTGCCTCCATGATTGAATGGGGAGGAGAAGTGGTGAACTCTCAGCCAGATGGAGAACACACAGCAACAGAAATGGGAAGTGGTCATTTTCCTGAAGAAGGATTTGGCAAAGCAAGCTATTTCAGAAATATTCAGATAGTTGATGAATCTAATAACCTCAGGTCTCCTAAAGGTGTTGGAACTTTCACAGAGCAATCTAACTGCTATGATGTGCAAAATGGAAATAATGGTGATTGGGGGAGTTACTTTTACTATGGTGGTCCTGGAAGAAACTCCAATTGTTAATATGGGAAAAAAAACCCAAAATTTAGCCTTTAGTTCTGTCACTCCCCCCTTTGTACCATTCAATGTGAACTAAAGATCTTAATTTACTGAGAGATTTTGGTTCTTAATTTTTCAATGATCCATATGCTCTCTCCCACACACAAATGGTTGGAGAGAAGGGAGGTCAGGTTTCTTAAGAGAAACAAGGCCTGTAACTGTTTGGACCTTATGTAACTTGTGACTTCAGTCTTGGAATGATTTGTTCAAAGTTCAGATTGTGTAACTGGTTTTAGATTGTTTAATGATATAAGAAGTTCTGTCATGATTTGTGGTAGATGATTAGCTTTACAAGAAATTGGACTTCACATGCAAATGAGACTTTTTTACTTCACATGCAAATGAGACTTTTTGTTTTTGGAAAGTTGACAGAGCATATGATTACAATTTTAAATATATTGGACTCCATGTGAAGTACATGGAAAAAAAGCCAAAAATGAGAGTATTCGCTTGTATTTCAAAGATATTTGTTCTGAACTTGATCTACATAAATATGATTATAAGTTGGCTTAATTTGATCTACATAAATATGATTATAAGTTGGCTTAATTTGAGCGGTACAGATGATGTTGAACTACGGGCTTAGGTATTCGAACAGGTTTCGCTTCCGCACAGAATAATTTTTCCTCTATATGAAGGATGACTATAGATGAGAAATTGGAGGGAGCTTGGATGTTTAAATAATCCTTGAGCTCAATGAAGATGTCACCATCTAACTAGTAATGCAACAAAAATGACAGATCACTACCTTATTGTTGTGGTTCACATACTATTATAGAATTACCACCATTAAAACATCATTGAATAGATGCCATTGTACCATCGCCCGACCACCATCGTTGGGGCATTACTCATCTAGCGCTTGAATACCCGGCTTAACCTCCACTGTCGAAAAACTGCCAAAGTGTCGCCATTCAACCACCACCTGATCATCATAGTAAAATAAATAAACTTGATTTTCTTCTAAATTAAATAAAAAAATTACTGAAGTTCTATTTAACTAAATCAGATAAAAATCATAATTCAATTCCTTTAGGCTGTGCTGATTTGTATGAATTGAAAGAGAAAATGAGAAATAAATAAATGAGAATTGTTGTGTCCTAGAATATTTGTGGCAGTAAAGTAATATAAAGTTTAATGTCTTAGCATTGTATGAAGATCCAGTGCGCAATCAGATGAGAGAGAGGGTGTAGCGTTTATAAGAGACACCAAATTTTTTACATGAAAACTCCTGAAAAGTGGGAAAAACCACGAGGTCTAGCCCAATTTGAATGAATCCACTATAATTTGTAGTCGATTAAAAATGAGGCTCTTCATTGGAGAGAAGGTCTTGGTTTGATATAACAGATATACATCATATAGAATGCATTACATGGTAGAAATTGAAAGAATCGGTATTAATATGTTCATTTAGTTGGCATAACCATAATCAACAAGCGACGGAGGTTGGAAAGACCATAGTCGGCAGGAGACGGGGGTTAGAAAGACTGTTGTCTAGTGGTGGAGTTTGAAAAGACCGTAGTAGGCGACGGGGTTGGAAGGACCATAGTCGGCAGGACACAAGGGTCAGAAAGATCGTTGTCTATCGATGGAGGTCAGAAGGACCGTAATAGGCAATGGAGGTCGGAAGGACCGTAGTCGACAAGAGATAGGGGTCAAAAAGAGCATTGTCTAGCGGTGGATGTTAGAAGAACTGTAGTAGAAGATGAGGTCGAAAGGACTGTAGTCGACAGGAGACAGGGGTCAAAAAGATCGTTTGTCTGGAGGTGGAGGTTGGAAGGACAATAGTAGGCAACAAAGGTCGGAATGATCGTAGTCGGCAGGAGACAGGGGTTAGAAAGATCGTCGTCTTAAGACGGTGGTGGTCCGGGAGAAGTCTGGGCCTCAAGTGGTGGTCCGACAGAAGTCCGGGCCTCAGGTAGTGGTCTGACAGAAGTTCGGGCCTCAGGTGGTGGTCCGGAGGAACTCCGGTGTCAATTGGTGGTCCGGCAGAACTCCAGGCCTCAAGTGATGGTCCGGTGGAACTTCAGGCGGTGGTCGATGAGGAGCTAAGGGGCAACAGCGATCTCCGATCTCTCTCTTGCTCTCTTTTTTAGGTATCTTTTAAGAGGAATGAGGGTCTATTTATAGATTTTCTAGAGTGGCATGACTCGTAAATAAGAGAAAGATCATGGGTAAATGGGGAGTAGTTTGGATGGACGGCCAATGTTGAATTCCTTGATTATGAACCGTTCACTAGACATTTGAAGGTCTTAAATGATGTTAGAATTCTGTGATCTGTCTCGTTGGATTCATCTCCTCGAGCCGCTCGATTCGACTATAAGCATGTCACGTTTGGAAACCGTTTGGTAATCCAAATTGTGGTTTGAACCCTCCAACAATGCTTTCAGGTCCTTGATTTAGACTCATTTGAGCTCAGATTGAGTCAAATTTGGTGTCATTGGATTTGTATTCTCGAGATGTTCAACTCGACTATAAGTTTGCTGAAATCGGAGTTTAGATAGTCCCAAATTTAATTTCAGAATTTTCCAAGTTGATTTTGCCCCGGGATTCATGCTTGATCATGAAATTTTTTTTGGTGATATATATATATATATCAAGAATAATATAAGATTCAATTGTAATTAGTTTTCTCTCAGTATTTTATTGAATAAAAATTAAAATCAAAGTTTTTTTTAAATTAATTTATATATTTTTATTTTTTATTTTTTATTTTATGAGCAAACGGTCCAAAAACAGAGAAATTTGGCTCAGACTTTCAGGTTCTTTAATTAAAAAAAATTATGATCCAATAATTGGAGCAAAACGCCTTCATTAATACTTTAATTAGTGTTTCCAAAAAACAAAAAAAATTGTTTATAGTGGACAGACTTCATCAAAAGACAATTAGTATTTCTAAATTAGGGTATTTTTTTAATAAACTACTGAGGGTAAAATAATGCTTCTTCTACATACTACAATATAAAGGAAATATGATTGGATTGATCACCTAAATTATTTTTAAAAATTAAAATAATTTCCTATTATATAAAGTGTCAATTTAGTCCATTAACATATTAAATAGGAATCAAATTATTCTTTTTTGGGATCATTTAGTTCTATTTAAAAGAATGAAGAAATTAAAATTAAATTTTTAAATAGTCAATAATCATAGTTATATAAAATTTTAGAAATGAAACTTTTTAGTATATATAGTTATATAAAAATTTATATTAATTTTATTTTATTTAATGTTAAGATATTAAAAAATAAAGTAAATCTCATTTTTTTATTATTTAATATTTAATTTTATTATATTATATTATTTTAATAAGAAGTGGAACTCCTGATTATCCTTTTTTTAATATTTAATATTTTCAGGTCATTTCATTAAAAATATTTTGAATTTTTATTGTATTTTTGAATTTATGAGAAGTAAATATCATCTTTATATTGAATCAAATGATTTATTAGTATAATTTTAAATAATCAAATTAGCTAAATATGCATCATGGCATTATAATCTAGTCAACAATTAAATAAATTTATTAACTTCTATTATATTTTTATGCATAGTTTTTTTATTTCTCTTAATATATAAATTACATTTCAAGTATTTTCCATTGCAGAAAATCTCTCATCACTAGAATTTACCAAAATACATCAGATTTGCATAAATTTCAAGAAGTGCTAAATTAAAAAAAAAAAAATAAAATTCTTTCAAACAAAAATAAATTATTTTTATCAATCCATAATTTCATAAAAATAAAAAAATAAATAATATTTCACAAGACAAAAGAGTACACAATAATGCAAGCAGCAGATGTCAGAGAGAGCACATCGACAAGAAATGGGAGTTACCGATGAGGGAATCAGAAACCTTTCATTGATTCCTGCAGAGGTCACATGACCGTTGATCATTAGTGGCTGCAACGGCACAAATTATTCAAAAATCTTCCTTTTCAACAACGTGATCAAAGAGAAATAGGTCAAAGTAAATAGAAGAAAGTACATATGGTGGTAAAATTTTTCAGTGCTACTGTTAGGAGATAAATCAAAATGTATCACATCATTTTTATATTTTATATCGATGATATGATACATTTTGATTCATCTTCAAACGATCATCTTTAGTATTGTGTAACGGTGTGAATCAGGTGATATGATGCATCCTGATTCATCTCCGAACGATCGATGACCACATATAATAATTTCTCATATGAGGATGAATTATCAGGCAAAAGATGGCTTAGTTGGCTCAAAGATTCCATATGAATGGCTATGATGGATGAGATAAAGTTAGAAAGCATAATATTAAAAATTGAAGATTAGAATATTTTTGTCTGCTTAGAATAAAGTGCATCTAGCTTAAAGATAAGAAGAGCATTTTTTTTTAGAATGAAGATGGGGTGAAAGGATATTGGCTTTGGTGTGCATATGCTTAATTAGGAGGGATGTCAAGTTAATGTATGATATATGCTTTAGTACAAATTAACAACAAAAAGAATCATGTCTCATTATATGGGTTAACTATATGAATATTTTTTTCTATTATATCGTATTAAGAGTCAAATTCTGATTTGAATATAATAAAAAATATCATTTTAATATTTTCTAAGTTTTTTAAGTCTAGTTTTATCTTTCTTAACATAGGCGAATCTAATACATCTACTTTCCTAACAGGTCATCGAAAGACTGTCATTTTATGCGACCAAACCATCTAAGACAACCTTATCTAATCTTATCATTTCATTAGAGCTACTCCAACCCTTTCACGTATATACTCGTTTCGCATTCTTTCTCTAAGTATAAACACTAATCCACTTAAGCATCATCTCTCTACAACACTAACTTAATTTATGCTTCTCTTTTAATGACCAACATTCTATGGCATAAAGAATTGTAGGTCTCACCATCATTTTATAAATGTACCGTTAAGTTTGAGGAGTAATACTTTTCTATTACACAATATGCCTAATGCATTCTCCACTTTAATTATCCAATTTAGCTTCTACTAATAATATTCTCATCTATTTACATCCATTTTGAACAATAGACCTGAGACATTAAAACTTGCACTCTTTTTAATGACTTGATCGTCTAATATCACAATTTCGCCATTAGATCTATTTCTCTAATATTTTTCAATTTTAGTTTGAGCAATTTTTTTTGAGAATAGGCTAAGGATTTAGTTGTCCAAATTATGATCTCCACAAGAGATCATAAAAGATCAATGAAGGTGGTGTTAGTTTTGGCAGGAGAATCAGAGAGGTGTACCTTCTACAATACAGTTTATTTCTAGCACATCATCTTTGTGTTAATCATTATACTCTTGGCAAGGATTTATGGAAATTATAGGTCTCTATATTTAAGTTATTAGAGATACAAATCATGGAAAATTTTTTAAAATAAAATGGTTTAATAATTAATTAAGTAAAAATGAAATCAAATAAAAAAAATTATAATTATTTATCGTTAGAGATGACGACTTGATTTTTTTTATTTTTCTTATATATATATATATTATATTATTATATAATAATTTTAATTTAACTATTTGTTTTTTTTTTAAGTTTTTATATATATATGATATTATAAATAAAAAATTTATAAACTTAAATATATTGTACTTATAAAAAACGAAAAAAAAAAGAACAAAACTTTCTACAGTTCTTTTTTTAATTTAACTAGTTGTTTTTAAGTTTTTTTAATTAACAATAAAAAAAATTGACATTATTTTAACAGTTCTACAGCTTTTAATTTTTTTTACTATTTATTTTAATAAATGATATTATAAATAAGTAAGATTATAACTTAAATATATAGCTATTTAAAAAAAAACTAAAAAAGAGAAAAAACAAATAGTCAAATAAAAATAATAAAAAAAACCAGTCGTTAGCACAACATTTTTCTCCTTTTTTTGGTAAATAATATTTTAGTCTATTTTTATGTTTTTTTAATAAATTCTACTATAAAAAATTAAAAAAATTTCAAAAAAAATTTAATTTAACAATTTATCTTCCTCTTTTATCTTTTATTTTCATTTTTAATACTTAAATATAAATTTTAATATATATTATAAATGATATTTTTTTCTTATAAATGATTCTATAAATTTTTTTTCTTATAAATGATTCAAGATTTGTGCGTTGAACATGTTTTCCATTTGAAACCTTTCAAGAGCACCTTGCCTCTTAGTAAAACTAACAACTTCTCCTCCTTTTTTTTTACTTGCATTACACAATAAAATTTGTTTCTTCCACATGACCAGCTTCCTTCATGTTGAGCATCAAATCGCACAGCACATTATATATGAGATCCTTCTCAGGGTGACAATTATCTTTAGCTCCAAAGAAATGGAAATTATTCTGTACCATAACCCAACTTAAGCCCGGCGACTTTGTAACTCTCCTCAGTTTCATCGCATTCCTTGTTTCAAAAGCTTCATTCCATTGACCATTAGAAGAATACAAGTTGGCAAGTAACACATAGGTTGCATCATCATCTGGATCCAATTCAAGCAGGCACTTTGATGCCTGCGTCCCCAATTTCATATTATTGTGGTTTCTGCAAGCACCCAGAAATGTTCTCCATATGAGATGATTGGGTTCTATTGGCATAGTCTTTATAAACTCTAAGGCTTCTTCGAGACGACCGGCACGACCCAACAAGTCGACCATACATGTATAGTGATGGATCACTGGTTCAATCATGTATACCGATTTCATAACTTCAAATAAAAAGATACCATCCTCAATCAAACCTGAATGACTGCAAGCATTCAGTAAACTCACAAAAGTCACTGCATTTGGATTGATACCCTCCTCTATCATCTTACTGAAAGATTCCAAGGCTTTTCTTCCTAGCCCATGTTGTGCATAACCATCAATAATGGCTGTCCAAGCTATTCGATCCTTCGTCAGTAAGTTGTCAAAAACCTTAGATGAATCCTCAATTGTGCCACTTTTTGCATACATGTCGATCAGTGTGCTTGCTATGCATGTATCAGATTCATGCCCATTTCTGATGATTTGAGCATGTATTTGCCTGCCTTGGAGTTGATCACCAAGCTTGGCACATGAAGTCATGGCACTAGCTACTGCAAAAGGATCTGGCTTTACAGAAGATTTGTGAAGATTGCAAAAGAACTCTATAGCTTCTTGATCTAAGCCATTGGAAGAGAATCCAGCAAGCAGTGATGAGCAAGAAACACCGTCCTTTGTTTCCATGTTATTGAAGACTGTATATGCATCCTCAATCTTTCCATTCTTAGCATACATGTCTATAAGCGCGCCCTCGACATGGATGAATGCGGCATATCCTGTTTTTAAGGCTAAAGCATGTAAATTAGTCCCCAAAATAACATCGCCAGTTTGTGCCGTGGAAGCTAATAGAGTTGCAAGAGTAAATTCATTGGGTAAGATTTTAAATTCTCTGATCATCTGGTGAAACATCTCGATTGCAAGCTCCGTGTTGCCATTCTGAGCATAGGCACCTATCATCACTGTGCACATAACCAAATCATAATATGGAGATCGGTCATAAACTAGCCGTGCGCTAAATGTATCTCCAATTTTCACATAGAAGTCCATGATTGAAGCTCTAACTGATGAATCATTCGCTAAGCTTGTTTTTATAGCATAGCCATGAACTTGAGAGCCCTCTCTGAAGCCCAGCACAGATGCACACGCCTTCAAAATGCTGGTAAGAGCAAACTCTCCAGCCATCATGCCCTCTTCAAGCATTCGAGCAAAGACACTGATGGCCTCAAAAGACTTATTTCTTTTAGAGAACCCAACTATCATTGTTGTCCATGAAAACACATCTTTCTCCTCCATCCTTTCTAAGATCTCAATGGCAGTGTCAAACTCATCATTTTTTGAGTACATTGAAATGAGACTGCTACCGACAAAAACATTTAAAAGCAAGCCCATCTTAATGATTAAACCATGAAGCTGGGCTCCAAAATGAACATACCCTGACTCCGAGCAGGATCGAAGGGTGCTTCCAAAGGCGAACTCATTAGGAAGAAATCCATCGTCAAGCAAGCTTACAAAGGTTTCAAGAGTTACTCTAAACTTTCCCAGCCTGGCATTGCCAGAAATAAGAGTGGTCCAAGAAACAAGATTTCTTTGGGGCATATCATCAAACACCTTCTGGGCATGAGATATGCTCCTGGACTCCGAGTACCTCTGAATGAGAGTATTGGAGACGGATGTGCAGGAGAGTAAGCCAGACTTGATGAGGTGAGCATGAAGAACTTCAGCATGAAGACAAGGATTTCGAAGCAGGATATTAACGGGAGTTTTTGGACTTTCCCTTCTTGGCGGGAGAATTGGGTTTAAGGGCGGAGAAGCGACCGTTGGAGCAACGGTCATATTCAGTGTAGTTATTGGAACCATAGGGTTTGTGCCTCTATAACCGATAACCTCGCGCTTAAGATTTCATGTTTCCTTCGGTGAACTATGAGGATCCAAAATACAAATTTCTTGCTTGATTGGGATTTTTATGATCCCAACATTTTTCTCATATTATTTATATGTTATATAGAAATATCAGCATTTCAATAATTAAAATTAGGTAAGTGTGCTTATAATTTGTAATTTATCAAGAATATTAATATTTTGTTTGGTACAATGCTTTCTAAAATAATTGTATAATATAAATTTTTTCAAATTTTTTAAAAAACATTAAAAGAGCTATCTCAAATGAAGTCAAAATTGAGATGAAAATATTGAGAAACGTGGACGCGATAAAAAACTGACTAATTATGAAAAATAATTAGAGAACAAAGACTAAATAACAACTAAATATAATTACTTAAAATATTACAGAATTAATATAAAACAAACAACTTCATAAATTCATGAGGGATTTTTTTTTTTTTTGGATGAAGAATACAATGCTTAAGATCTCTAAAGAAGAGAATATTATTTTGAATAGATTTGAATGAATATGATTGAATTTTATAGCTTATAGTCATAATTAAAAAAGACTTGGTGAAGGAGATTTTGATATTCTATGAAAGAACTCATGCACATAGGCTCTATATGATAGTTTATATGAGAATGGCAGAATCCTTCAAATAGTGAGAATATGAACAAATGGAGTAAATCAGACGATGATCGACGCATGAACCATTGTGATGAAAAAAAAAATATTGGGACCTAGAATCTTTGACTTGTAGTAGAAGACTCCTTTCGAGTAATAAATGATAGATTTCTATATGATTAAGATGATGATTTTGTAGAGAAGCGATTCTGGGGGTGTTAGTGAGTCGAGTGGCTTGTGAGCAGGCTCAAACTCAACTCGTTAAGGAGCTTATGAGTCGAGTTTATAGAGACACGAATTTGAGCTCAAACTTATACTTGAGCTCATATATTATACACAAGATCAAGCTCACCTTTGCTTGACTTGTAAGCTAGTCGAGTTGCTCAATTACTTAAAATATATTTAAAATTTAATTTTAAATTAGCATTATTTTCTATATTAAAAATTAAAAGCTATTTTTTATTTAATTTAAAACTAAGAAATTGAACTCAATAATCGAGTTAAGATTGAGCTTTCCAAATAAACTCGAACCTAAAAATTTTTTAACAAGCTGAGTGTTAACCCAATAAATAAACTCGAAAAAACGAGCTCAACTTGATTAGGCGCATACTCAACTCGACTCAGTTACACCCCTTAATCATCTTAATCATTCTATAATCAAAATTTATATACGGTTAAAAAAAATGCAAAAAAACCAACATAGCTATATATATGTATTGCACCCAACTTCATCTCAAGCATCTAAAAGGATGGAATAACTATAATGTGCAAATGACTAAACTCTATAGAATCTGCCCAATTTCTTGCTTTTGCAATTCTTTGGTTACTTTTTCTTTTAAATTTTTATAGTGGAGTTGTGATCATAAATGATTTTTATTGTGCCTCCATTTTTTATGATAATATTCTATTCACTTTCAGAATGGTTGGAAGCAGTCAGTATCAAGAGAAATTATTACTTGCAGAGTCCGGATCTAGAGTTATGTCCGGACATTTGAGTGTACAAAGTGTGTACACACTGTGTACACTCATAGTCCGGATGTAAAATTACATCCAGACTCCGAACATAATAATTTCTCCAATATGAATAGTTTGATTCTATACATTACAACGCAAGAAGAATAAAAAGAGCAATCACCTCTAATTAGTTAATTTTTCCAATACAATATTATTGAACCAAACAGTATCCTCTCCCCAACTCTTTAGCATAGAGAGCAGAAACAGCTTCATAATCCAAAGTGAAGAGTTGTATTGCTTCTGAAAGAAGAGCCCATTCACATCAGAACCTTTCATCATAGTGTCCACTCAATGAAAAGGATGCTGAAGCAGCTTGCTGATGCTGAACAAAGATGTCCTTCACATTCTGCAATTTTAGCCAAAAGAAATAAGGAAAGCAATGTGAAGAATCATAGATAACAATCAACAAACCACTTATTGAATCAGAGCAGCAGAGAATGTTAAATGAGTAATGCTACACTTCCCAAATAGATCCACTTCAAAATTTGGCTCATCTGATATGTTTATATGATAACTAATTTAGCTTCATTTTAAAGCTTTGTTTGGGCAACTTTCTCAATGATTTTTAAAACAGTTTTTAATTTTTTACTAAAAGATTGCTTTAGCAAGCAGTAAGAAAACTATACCAAACAAAATCTAAATCAACAAATTTATATCTAACTTTTGATCAATCACATTAGTCTTCTTTTCATGCTAAAAAATAAGATGTTTCATCTAAAGTGAGAAATATTTTGCTCTGAATAACTAAACCAGCTGAATTATCTTATGCTCAAATGAAAAAAAAAACATTTTTGAGGGCATGAAATAATCATTTTATGTACGTGGAATGTGAGGAGTTGGATTTCCAATATAACAATGGGGTTTTAATTATCTATTTCCAAAAAAAAAAGTCATTTTAGTCCACCTAAAAAACTGTGTAGCAGCAATTTAAGCTTGAACTTATTCAGGTGGTAATGGCCTCTTATCAAACTGAAACAGAATAAGTTCTCAAACGTCACCTCCTTTTTCAAAATTGCAGATTGGATGTTCTTTCTTTTGCCCGTTAGTTCCACTCTTCCTCCACCAAAGATGAAAATAGAGATTGTAGCAGCTGCCATTATCACTGAACTAAGCCATTTTTTCAATTTGAAAGCTTCAAAGTTATCTTTTTCTTTGATATTTGGATCTTTGAACTCCACCATCTTACTATCTTCTTCTTCCTCCTCTCTGAACAATAAGCTTTGCAGCCCCCAATCAGTTTCTTCTTCATTCTCATGAGAACCAATCTCTTCCTCAACAGCTAAAACTTCATCCCTTACCAGGTTCTGCTCAGAAAAAACTGCTTGCTCTTCATAAATCTCTTCTTCCTTCAGTTCATCTTCAAGTTTCTTATCAGCAACTGGGATTAACTCAGTTGGGCTCAGCTCCTGCTCATTAGTAACTGAGCCTTTTGGATGGAGATATTCCCATTCAAAAACCATTTCCTTGAAAGCTTTTGCCATTTGATAAATCTTTTGTTTTGATAAGCAAACCAGAAGAAAGAAGCACTTAAATAGTATTTTTGGCCAGTAAAAGGATGAAGGAAGCTAGAGAATTATTGAAGCAAAAGAGCTTCATGAAGAAGAAGCTTCCTACATGATCATCTTTGCCTTTACAACAGAAAAAAACCTCAATAAAGTTGAATTATTGCGCATAAAGATAATAACAGCCTTTTATTATTAGAATTTTATTGATAGAACCCTTTCTGAAAGGGCACATGTATAGCATAATTGAACATACTTTATTTTCATATTTTACAAAAATGCCACTTTTGATAGTTAGCTTGATTTGGCCGGTCATTGCTTTGGTGCTCAGAAATAAAATTAGCTGTCAACCCTATTATGACAATATAATATTTAGAGGGCATGATATGCTAAATTGAGTGCCACTATATCGGCATCATAAGTGCATCGGATCTCATTAGAACTCTGCAGTTAAGCGTATTTGGGCAATAGTAGTATTAAAATGGATGACCTCCTGAGAAGTTCTCGTGTTGCACCTTTTTAAAAGAGAGGAAAAAAAAAGGGCATGATATGCTAATACTAATCTAATAAAAGGGATTTAGTAAGGATCTATTTGTTATTATTACCATATGTTGCACTGTATTATATTCTACAATGTCGCGATATGTTATTGAAAAAAAAGATAAGTTTGAATATCTATTTGAAATGGCTGTAAATTTTTAATAAATGTAATTATAAATTTGATATAGAAAAAACAACTTATTAAAAAGTTGCAGTAAACAAATAATATAATCGAATAAAATTATGATTATAATATGAAAAATAAAAAAAAAAAGAAAAATCACAAACAAACTCTAAATCTATATAAAAAAAAAAAAAAAACTTTTTGTAAAGCTAGCCAGAACATGATTTAAAAAAAAAAAACTTATTTTTATACTTTTATACAACTAATTTTTCTCAAATATTTTTAAATTTTTTTTGCATTTCAAATAGCAAAAATAAAATTAATAAACAATGCCAAAATGAAGCCTTATAACATTAATCTATTATTATACAATAATAAATAAAATAAAAACTACTCTTAAATTTAATTATACAAAAAGAAATAATTACAAGTTTATTACCATATTGCTTATAATCTAGAAATTATAGTAAAATTTATTTAAAAAAAAAAAAAAAGCTGCAAACTCAACACAGACTTGCTTATATGAAATGAAATCATATCATCTGAGTATCATCTTAACAATACTGAGTATCGTCTTAACAAAATTGGTTCAGATAACACAGTAAATAAAAAACATTCTTGCTATAAAATCATGTGCTTCTATATCAGATGTAATGAATTTAAAGTGAAAAAAATAAAAAAATACAAAATTCAAATGAAAACATCTGCCCAAAATGTTATTTGAATAGATTTTAAGGCTTCGTTTGGGACGGCTTTCTCATCTTCTCAAAGCAAAACTTTAATACTAAAAAATTTCTTTAAGAAGCAGCAAAAGAGCAGTCCCAAACGAAACCTAAAACTCTAAAATTTGTTTCGCGACAACCACAATACATAAACAATCAATTAATGCTTATCCTTCACTAATTTGAAAGGAAATCTAAGGGTTATAAAACCCATTGTTTGAGCTATTTGTTGAAGGCTAATAGTCTTTTAATAAACAGAAATGTAAACCATAGGAGTACACAATGATGTTGCACCGCACTTAGTGCATGCAAGTGTATTAATATACAAAATGATAAAGGTCCTGAAAATTTACATGCTAAGACCCTTTTCTCATGCGTCCAATCTCACATGGAGAAGTTCCAAACCAGAACATTCATCAAAGAAGAAAAGATGAACTTTTTCCTAAACAACTCTCCACATAGATCTGAAGAACTCAGATTTTTTGTGATCAAAACACCATGCATCGACCTCAAGAAACAAAGAGATAATTAGTTCAAGTGGGTGGACCTTAAAGAAGATGATTCGCCTAGCGAGACAGAAGCCAAGGAAGATGCCCACACGCGCGCATTTTTAGCTCCTTTGTGAAAATTTCTTGTCGTGTTCGATAGCCGAAGCTTGTTCCATGCTCTCTTCATATCAATTACATGCAGAAAACGCACCAGGGGTTGGCTCAATTCAATTAAGGTGCCAAGGTTCAGATGGCGGAAGGTATAGACCATCCAGAAGGCTTTGATTTCCGAGATAAACTTTGGGAAGAAATAAGTAAATGCCCTCAGGAGAACAAAAAGTAGAGAGAATGTCAGATAGAGTTCATTCCTTAGAAGTTCACCAACAGGTCGGTGCCATGGCTGGACAACCTTTGCCTTCTCCTTCGGTTGGTCCACATGGAAAAATGCAACTGGATATTGGCCTGCAGCAGTACATCAAATTAAAATAGTATCTGCATGTTTAATTTAAATTAGCAATAGGATCATGTGTTTAAAAAAAATTTAAAAGAAGCAAATTAGCCAAATAGAATGGGGCATTATGAAGAATGCACCAAATCATTCAGTGCATTCAACTCAGCCAAACAGTCTGTTTGGCGCATTCAATGGAATGCGTCATTCTGTTTGACTAGTTTGCTTCTTTTTAAATTTTATTTAATATTATGTTCCTATTCCTAATTTAATTAAACATCATGCTCCTTAAATAAAATCCAAATAGTATCTATTTGACTAAAAAAATTTTAAAAAAGTAGCAGCATCTCAAGAATTTAAGCACCAAATATGTCAAAAAAATAGATAACATCACATATCTCACAAAGGCACTGCATTGGCTCCTATTGCATAAACACAGACAATCATAAGAGAGAAATAAAAAGCTTTCATTTAATTATGGAGGAACTAACCCGTAGTTTGTCTATAGAAGTGTGCTAATGAATCGAGATCTTTTGAGCCATGATATCTTATCCACGCAGTTCTGTTGGCTAACAAAATGGATGGAAAACTATGGATCCCATATCTTGAAAAAACACTGCAAACAATAAAGCAGGGGTACAACATATAAATATAAGATTTGGAAGATAATAACAGGCAGAATATCTCATTTAATAGAGAAGAGAAATAGACATTCACCAGCCATCGTTGTACCTTGGAATAGCAGAGGATTCTTCGACTGTTAAATGCCAAATTTGTGGAAACATAGAGCTAAGTGCATCAAAAGTGGTTTTAACATTCCGTGAGAAGGGACACCAAGTTGCATGGAAAAGAACAGAAAAATATGCACCATCCTTAACCTGAGCCAACTTTTTATCAAGAGTATCACCTTGAACCTGCAATATGGTATGGTGTATGTTATCATTCAAAAACTTCCATTAATCACAGCAGGGGGGTCCAATTATTTCTCATGAGTAAATTTATTCAGTTAATGTAATAGGTAATTGGTCTCAGTGTGTACCAAAGCTCACCATCATTCATCTATCAGATATGTTCGGCTCTACCATTAGTTATGAAGTTATTCACGGATTACTTACAGTCATAAAAAAAAAAAAACCAATTATTGCATCGTGAAAGCAAGCAAAGGACCAGATTTGCAGAGTTGAAAAAGAGAGGTTCGTATGAGATTCAGCCTCAGTTAAACGGTAAATAGATTTCAAAAAAACAAATACGATAGAGCAGATTAAAGAATGTCATGTAGAGGAACCAACCATAACGAAACTCCAACCCACCATTTGTATCAACAGAAGAGTTGGAGAATCATGGACGATTTTCCTCGTCCACATTTGAGCATGAGGTAGAAACTGTTCTAGAGATGCATTGGTAAAATGGGAAGATCATGTAGATAGATGGAATTATCCAGCTGCATTTGTGAAATAGAAATTCCCTTCACTGCCACCACTTCAAAATGAAATGGAATCAAAGAGATGAATCAAGAGCATATTTTGGATTCAACAAGTAGTCATTCAACAGAAATCACTGGGACAGGATAACCCCTGAATATCCTATTAAAGCTTAGATGACCTAAGGCTATAATAAATTCTGAGGGACAATTTTTTTTTCCACAATAATGAAGCATCCTAATCAATAAATGAATATGAACCAACCCATTTACTTTTGGATCTGATCGGTTTATTTAACTTGGCCGAGATGCTGTCAAATTGACGTTAAATTATGTTAATGGGTCCCTTTGGTTACATGTGTTTTCTTAAGCGAATTAAGTACAATTAAGTTGTTTAAAGTAAATGCAGCAACTTCGCCAAAACCAGCACACAAAGACTAAGTTTCCCCATTCCATTTACTATGTATTAATTAGTTCAGCGGCATTACAAAATGGCTCTTATCTTTAAAAAAAAAAAAAAAATCATAAACTGCTTTAATATAACAATCAACTACTTTGATGCACAATTTTAATAAATTAGTCATTGTTGATATTATACATAATTCTGCATATAGTTCACTCAGGATGAAAGGTTTAAGCTTGATCCAAATGGAAAGAGGTCTAAGAACATGAGTTTGATAATTTAAATCTGTATGGCATGGTTTTGATTACCTTGATGTTAGTTGGTTTTGATTTATTCGATAAGATATTTACAAGATTTCTACAGGTTTCCCCAATTCAGACTGGATACTGCATCCATTACAAGGATTAAAGTATACTTTTGAAACTTCTAGTTCATAGCTACAAAATTTATAGACTTCTAGTGCACTTTTATCTTGAACTATTTATTACAGACACTTGGTAACAATCCATGGTTCATTCAGATTTTGGGTCTGTTAGCCACAGCTTTCTCACTGCTTTGGCTTTCAAACCGCAATCCCAATTCCATTTGGCTACTACTTTCTTGCTGGTTTTTAGAAATTTTTGTGGGAAGCTGATTTTTATGACTAAAGTTGCTAATGTGTGGAAACTTTAAGAAAATATACATTTATTTATCAAAAAATAACATATTTATAATATCCCTAACATTTAAAAAAAAAAGTTAATTTACCCATAATAGCTTCACAACCAATTTTATAAAATGTTGTAATCATTCCAAAACAGCCTATTTGCAAGCACCAAGAAAAAAAAGGTTAAAAAACAAATTAAGAAGCTTGCGCAAGCTGACTTAACTTAAACAACTAATTCAATTGCCAATTAGCCCAGCCACCGCCCCACAATGGCCTAATTGTAGCCCAATGCCTATCAATAAAATAAGCACAAGTAGGCATTTACTTGCTTGGTTTAGGTTTTCAGGAGACAATGAACACCTAAATGACAACAAATAAGGGGAGGTCCGATGGCTGATGCTTACATTCGCAGCATACAATAAATCACTGGAATTATGCAGAAGTGGACTTTCTTGTAGCATTGACTTTCAAGAATTCAAAAGCTTGTGGGGCTGACAGTGATGGCATGGCTCGGAAATATCAGTAAATGCTCAATATAGATAGTCAAGGACCGCGTAACCCACCCAACCCAAGAGGCCAAACCCCTTTTTTTTCAGGCAAGAGCAATGTATCATACTCACAAAATGGCAAAAGTCACAGGCTGAATTTTCTATTTAATAACATGGCTTGGAAAATATATCTTATTTTAATCAAACGACTTTTTTTTTTGTAATTTTTTTAACCGACTTAATCAGTAAAAATGAAGAATCTTTATCCCTCATTTGTTCCCTCTTCCCTGCCATTTCCACACCTTTCAGTTTGCCAGTTAATTTATATCTTCGACTCTAACTGCAAAGAGTGATTATGCATAAGATGAGTCCCTGCTTCTCCTACGACTTATTTATCTTTGTGCATATTTCAGATTGTTGAAATCCAGCCATTCCTAGTATAAAGAATCCGACGGACACAAAGATCAATCCGTGGGATACTCTCATGGATCACGCATTAATGAGGGAATAAATTTAGGAAAGATTTTATTTTCTTATTTGTGTATTAAATATGTAATTTATTATTTCCGCATTAGGATATCTTGTATAGATCTATAAATAGGGAAGATTGTAAGGAATAAGAATAAGCTTTTCCCTCTCAAATTCTCTGTTTTAACACAGATTGTGTAATATTTGGAAGTTAAAGTTAATTAGCATTCTAATAATGCATATTAATTAATATATGCTATTTTGTTATAGCTGGGAACGATCAATTTCTCCAAATTAGGGAGAAATAAGGTTAAATCATAAACCTCGCCTAGATGCTTTTTTTCCTACTTGGTCAATTTTATATAAACATACATCAAAATCATGAAATTAAGAATTATTTTTTATATTTTCCATGAATTTCTGCATAATTTAAATAAAATATTTAATAATTGTTATTGTGGTTGTGTGTGTAACTGGAGACATTGTCATTCTACATTTATTATTAATATTATTAGATCAAACCAAGTTACATCTCTTTTCATTCCTGAAATGTGCATTTATGGAACAAATGGTCAAAATTTTAGAATAATTTCTCCCTCAGGGTAAGTACATTAATCACTCCTATTATGTAATCAAAACCGTGATTTAATCAAGCAACATTTGATATTAATTAAATAGAAAAATATGATGACAAACATGATTCCTGACCTTGAGATGGTGTCTGTCTGGCCTAAATGTTGCACGCCCATGAGATGGTGTTTGTCTGGCCTCCTTTGAAATCACCTGCATTTTTCACCGAGACCATTCTGTCTTCGCAATCACATTTTTGGACTACCAATCTTTCAGAACTAGGCAACCCTTAACCCAGGTTAAATTGTGTTGTGTCACTTGAGGGAGACATCTTAGCCTTCCCAAGAATATTTCTTCTTATAATCACATTAAGTTATGATGCATCACTTAATGGTAAGAACCTAGCAATTCCTTGCCTATTTTTCATCATAATCAGATTAGGCTAAGATGTGTCAATCATGGGAGCAAAGTAGCGCTAGATAAATTCATAATTTAATTCATTTCATGCTCTTTGGCAAATGCTCTGTGATTGATTGTTGACCTAACATCAACCAAAAACCATTTACGTACAAGATTTGGACGGCAATGGTGATTTTTCCATCTACTATGACTAATACATTCAATCAAATTAATGTGATAGTTTACAACATAGGCATTTAAGTAGCCACATATATCATATAAAAAGAAGTTAGATAAATAATAATCAATGGAGTCCACATAAATATGAGTATTTTGAAGGTGAGAAATGAGTCAAGCTAGAGCAAAAAGTGGGTTAATTCAACTATATATATGTGTATGCAAAACGTCCGCGTGTATGCAATTATTTATTTGCACTGGCTATTGTTCACGCACAAGAACTTTAAAAGTTCAAATAAAAATATGCATGTATTTGTGTGGCCGTGTGTAGTTGTGTAAGTTAGTTTTTGTGATTAATGAATGATGGGAGATCAATATAGACCTAAATTATTGATTTTTACTTAATTAATCAGATGTTTTTATTTTATTTAAAGCTCACTAGATTCCTTCATCAGTTTAAAATTAAATGCAAAACTTTGATTAAGAACAAGTTACATAAATCAAGTATGAGGTAAGGGTGGCTCACCAAAACTTAAATATCAACACTAATTGTATTAATGCCAAATAATGTTTTCTTCTGGACAAACTTAGATCACAAACTCCTTATATGCACCCTTTCTACGCAAAAATCATCCAAATCAACCACTTCAAAGATTATATAGACCCTATATAAATCAATAATTATAAATCAACATTTACTCCACATCGAAGTGTCAAAACATGATCATCACTATGATTCGTTTGGAAATCTAACTTAATTCTTTATCAAAAGGAATGAGCTTCACAAACCTATTTGGGCCATAAGCTCACATATTCAATTCAAAAATAATAAAACAAACAATTTCTTATTTTGTCATTTAAGAAAAAAAAAATGTTTTGGCAATATTTAAGGGTTGATGATATATGAATCCTAAATTCCCTTGAGTGATCTACATATATTGCATCATTATAAGTGCATTGGAGACAGTGACCCTTAATGTCCAATATTACATTGGCATTAGACCATGTCATTTAGAAGTGGATCTATTAGGCCAACTAACTCAATAGATCGTAAATGATAGAATCTCTAAACGTTACAAAATCAATTGAGTTAATTGTTGAATAGGTAAAATTAAAGCAATGAAAACAAAACAATAATTGATAATCAAGAAACAAAGGAAGTTCATGCACGTGAATCTGAAATGGATTCCAGTCATAATGATGAGCCAATTCAATTGAATGGTAACACTAACAGGACAAGGAAATAATCAAGATAGATAAATTTTGGTGTTTAACAATAATGCTCATGAAAATTATAAATATCAAAATTTCGGCATAGATGATAAATATAACAAGAGTAGTTAAAGTGTCCACCAATATGATGCTAAAATTGTCTATTAAGGTTCTACTAATTAATTACTATGTTTAAACAATTTCTTTCAAATGGTAAGTCATATCTAATAAATAACAACTGTGATTTGTAAAAATGATATTAAATAGTCAAGATAAAATTTCTTGGATGAGTGTGGAAAGATAAAGAGAAAGGTTGAAAAGAGAACCATGGATGTATATGCCTATTTCAATTCCATTAAAACCTTGATTTGACCTAGAGTAGAGAATAAAACTCATGGTTGTATAGACCTCTTTCAATTCCATTTGAACCATGGGTGGGTTTTATTATATATTTCATATTAAGATTACCAAGGATAACAAGAAAGCATGATTCTATTTTTATAGTGATAGACCACTTTTTAAGGATTTAAAAAAATATTCGTATCATACCATAAAACCATTGATGCATCTTAAATTATTAAATTATATTTTAATGAAGTAGTTAAACCACATGTTTACTTAAAATAATTTCTTTTGATCGAAATGTAAATTAATGGGTTATTTTAAAAAAGACTATAAGAAAGAAAATGGAATAAAACTTCTATTTTCAACTACTTAAAATCCATAAAAAGATGGGCAAATTGAAGTGGCAAATAGAAGCTAAAGATATTTGTCACATGCCTAATAAAAGACAATGCATTTGGGTAGCATTTGATATTTCCTATGATTGAGTTTACAAACAATGCATTTTTAACTGAATATATTAACATCAGCCACTATTATTCACGTGTTATGCTACATAATTGCTTATTTTCTTTAATTTGTTGTCACATATTTGATATGATTAAATCATTATTATGTCAATTATATTATTTTTAAATAAAATTAATATTTATTACTCATCCAATTCAACCCCGGTTGAACAATCGAACTGTGAACTTCCCCTTCTTCCTGTCGTCCGATCTGATTTTCACAACCTTGAAAAAAAGAATATGAAATTTAAGCCTACTCCAAAAAGGCTTTCCATCAAGAACCTTTAGAAATTGAATGCATTTCACAACACATTAATATTAATGCATAAAAATCAATATTTTCAAGATATTATGGTATAAATCTAATTTTCAATGTGTCTCATTTAACCTTATTTCAAGACATATTGTCAATTCCCTTTATTTTGCCATTTGTGCACCTCTTGTGAATTTACATCATATCCTCTATCATATACTCCAGACAGCTTATTCCTAAGCCTATTCTAAATAATGAGGTGTCCACTAGTGATATGGGATTCGAAAGAAATCTTCTTTTCTGGCAAGACAAATCTACTTATGACAATTCATGATTTAATTTGTAGGCAACACATAATGTTTCTTAGATGAATATCAAATGCTAAATTTATCCAAGACAAAATTCAATGGAAATCTATGTCTGTATTCTCATCAAAAGCATATTATTTTGTTATTTTAATAATTAAAAGTACATTAGTGATAATGGCTAGAGAGAAATGTATTTTATTTGTTAACTTTTTGTTGGATATTTTATTTAAAATTGATGTTTTAGGTTCTGAAATTTTTCTTCTATCTGAGGAAATGGATTTTGGACTTCGTGGATTTAATTGGTGGAGCAACTTTGGTTCCAGCTTTTACCTATTATTTGTTTCTCTGAGCATTCGATATTTCTTGTTAGCAAAATTTCTTAGGTGTTGAGCGATGATGGTTGAGAGAGAAAGAGGCGTATTTTATTAGCCAACTTTAGGTTGAATATTCTGCTTTAGGTAAGGGGGTTATGGTGTCTTAACTTTAATAGGCTTCCACTATGAACCTTTTGAATAATTCACAATGAGAAGAATATGTTGAACATTTTGGACCGTTCATATAGTTTACCAAAAACTGTATCGGTTATCAAGAAAAATAAAAGCAAATCAACTTTTTCTTTTAACACAACACACAAGACTCATTTCGTCTCCGACTTTCTTCTCTAGCGACAAGCGCTTCGTCTCCGACAATGAAGCGACAAACAATCTCACAAGCTGCTCGTGAGCTTTTTTCTTCACCACAAGCTGAGCTCGACTCGAGTTCGAGCTCATGCTTTGGTCGACGAGTCAAAGCTCAAGTTGGCATGACTTGAGCTCGACTCGACTCGTTTACACCCCTACATATTATGAATTCTTTGGATTTTGATCTAGAGGCACCTCTTCTTAGTGAATTTACATCCAATCCACTACTAAATACTTTCATATAATTTGTTCTGAAAGCTATTCTAAATAATGAGATTATTGTCACTGTTGATGGTGGATTCAAAATATATTTTATGCAATAGCATAACAAATATGCTTCTAATGATTTTGGATTAGTTTGCAAGAAGCACATAATTTGTCTTGGATGGATAATTAAATGCTAAATTTGTCAAAAGCCAAATTTGTCCAAGCCATGTAAATTGAAAGAAAATTTATGTGCTTATTCTCATCGAAAACATTGCATCTAGCAAAGATCAATGCATAGCCTATTTATATTATTTTTATCAATGGTTTATTTTATTTTTTATTTCAATAGTTAAAAGCATGTCAATGATAATGATCGAGAGATTAATGTATTTTATTTGCTAGCTTAAGGCAACGTGTTATATTTTGGAGAAATAAAGGGTATGATGATTTGAATTGATGTTTGACTTGGGTTTATCCTTTGGATCTAAAATCTATTGTTCTCATATGCCTTGGAATTAGACATTGAACTTCATGTGTTTAATTGGTTGGAGGAGCGATTTTGGTTCCAGCATTCTCTACTATTTGTTTTTCTATCAGTGTGTAATATTTCCGGTAGCAAATTTCATTGTAAAATTACATTTTCTACAATTTGTGTGCATTCTCTCTAGGCTGGTTACTCTTGCAAGCTGCATGTGCTTCATTATCTTATTTCTTTTTTGAGTCAATAGTTATTAAGTTATAATCCATAAGATGTAGTCCTTATTCTATACATAATTGAATCAAAATTTCTCTTTTAAGATATTTCGACTAGCCCAAAGCAACCTAATATTTTGTACCCAATTTTGCTCCTCTCCTTTAGGAATTTTTATTGCGTCCTCCCACCTGACGTAGAGATACGTCCTCCCACAGTTAAAAAATTGGGTTTTTGCTCGATATTGCTAGCTATTATTTAGTATTAACGAAGAATATCATCATGTGAATACCAATACCGAGTTATACCGAGCTATACCGAGCAATACCGAGCAATACCGAGCAATACAAAAAAATACCTAGATTTTTCTAGAGAAAACTCGGTATTGCTCGGTATAGCTCGGTATTGCTCGGTATAGCTCGGTATAACTCGGTTTATGTCTTCACATGATGATATTCTTCGTTAATACCAAATAATAGCTAGTAATACCAAGCAAAAACCCAGTTTTTTAGCGGTGGGAGGACGTATCTCTACGTCAGGTGGGAGGACGCAATAAAATAGAGACCTCCTTCACCTCCCTTTGAAGCCTCCTTTTACATCACTTCTAGAGGACCTTCACCCCTTTTCCTTTTTTATTTCTATCTTCAACAAGTATTATGCAATCAAAGCTCTCTTTCAAATGATCCTCCAAAAAAAAAGCGACAGCAACAACAAACAAGTTTTAATACCACAACATCAGGTCAGCTATATGAATCTTTTTTCTCTATTATATCCAATTTAGAGTTAAATTCTCATTTAAATCTAACGAAAAAAAAAATCATTTTTAATACTTTTATGACCAAGTATTTTTAGATCTACCAAAAAAGACTTGGTTAAAAAGCAAAAAATAGAAAATCCTTGTTCCCTTGATTAGTATTAAAGCAGAATATCATCGTTCCCCTTTAATTGGTACCAAAATACAAATTCTTGTATAAAATTTTTTACAAAATTTGAGTATTGATCTCCTTAACCTTATTTGTTAAGATAATTTCAAAATCAGGGGTTTTCTATTATTTTGGAGATTTTTTTTTGTTCATTACATCACCTACCATGAATCTCTAACTCCCTGCCATACAACAACAACATCAAGCCTTTATCCCACTATGTGGATCGGCAATATGAATCCTTTTTCTTCATTGTGTCCTATTAAGAGTTAAATTCTCATTTAAATCTAATAAAGAAATGTCATTTCTAATATTTTCTAACCAAGTCTTTTTAGGTCTACCTCTACCTTTTTAAACATAAGTCAAATCTAATACATCTATTTTCCTAACCGGGGCATCTGAAAGCAGCCGTTTTATGTGACCAAATCATTTAAGACAACTCTATCTAATCTTATATTCCATTAGAGCTACTCCAACCTTTTTACGTATTTGCTCATTTCATCCTTCATCTCTCATCTCTGCAACACTTTAATTAATATT